TTTCAAGTTTTCCGATGTAACTGGAAGACAAATTAACAAAAACCTTGAAAACTCTTGAAAAAACCGAAAAAAAAAGAGAGAACGAGCGAAAAAATTTTAAAAGTTTGAATTTGCGCGCTTTTACTCACCGGGCGGCCTAGAAAAAAAGCTCGTCCCTAAGGGCTTTCAGCGCATTTTTCGATGCGTTTTTCTCGATGAAGGAATTTTTTTTGAATTTTTTCTTTATTTTTATGCCAATCTACATGCATTTCTGCACATTTTGATGCAATAAAAAATTTCACCGTACACCACCTTTAAGGATTTGAAAAAAACTGAGAAAGATCAGAACTGATCACATTTATTAGAAATGCAAAAATTCGCATTTCCCAGCATGATAAAACCTTTAAAATTCTGCGTCGCATGAACCAGGAACCGGAACGATCTAAAATTCCTGAAATTTTTCCCAGCTCAGCATATCGTATTTTCTCTGATAGAGGAACACAAGAACCATCATCTTTGAACTCAATTACCTCGATTTCTGTAGAAGATATAGAACATTTATCAACCACTGAAACACGTATCATAACATCACCAATATTTTATTAGTTGGCTGATTGTGGATATCTCTCACAGTAATCAAGATACCGTAAAATCTGTATTAATATTGCGCCTCTATTTAAATTGCCCCTCTAATAGACTTGTACCCCTTGAGGGTACTTGAAAAATAGACTTACAGCCTTTAATTGAATTGCCCCCGTAATACAATCAAATTGCAGCAGTATTGCGGCTCCGCCGGGAGTACTGTACAATTTTTAGTCTGTGACACCGTGACGAACTATTGCTCAGTTGTTTTTCTAATTTCTTTTTTTTTAACTACCTACCTTATTTCTGGTTTATTTTTATTTTTCTTTGTTTTTTAACAATATTTTCCATTTATTGAAGCGAGCAAAACGAGCAATGAGTTCTGAAGAAGACCTAGAAGACGTGGGAAACGTGTTCGACGTGGAAAAATTGGATGACGTGGAACACGTGGAAGACGTGGATAACGTGGAAGACGTGGAAAAATTGGATGACGTAAAACACGTGGAGGACGAGACGAGCAGAACGAGAAATGGAAGAAATTCAGGAGATTTTGGGAGATATTGAAATTGAGGAAGACGATGGAGAAGTGAACCATGCCGAAGAAGAAGACAATAACTATGACAGTGACGCCTCGATTTTTTGATTTTTTAAAATATGCGATACTTTTCTTTTTGTTTTGTTCAATTCGTTACTTTTTTTTGTTGATTTTCATAATAAAACTGCTTTTTTTTCAAAATTTTAACCTCAATTTGTAGTTTGAAAAATAGAATTGCAGCCTCTATTTGAATTGCCCCTCTAATAGAGTTGCACCCCTTGAGGTGACTTGAACAATAGACTTGCATGCAATATTAATACAGATTTTACGGTAATTGAACTCAAGGTTGACGGTTTGTGTGAGATTCTATCCGAAAACGCATGGTAGTCAAAAATCAGACATTTTGAAAAGGGGAAGAATTACTGGAAACAGATAAAAATCTACAGAAATCATCAAAATCCAACTACACGCTAGTTAACAATAAGCTCACACGATAACAAAAGCTTCAACTAATCCTTATGATTTTACAGCTCTTCTCACCATGCTCAATTAAGTCTATAAGAGAAGTGCTCATCAACAAATACAGCGGTTGTTTGGAAGAAGAAATGAACTCATTCTGTGGCAACGGTATTGTTGAGGACGGTGAAGAATGTGATAATGGTGTGGAGACAGATGAGCAAGGTGAGAAATAAACCGAGACTTGAGAATAACACCTAATTGTCATTTATTTTTCCAGAAGTGAGCTGCTGTGACAAATTCTGCAGACTTTCTGTTGGGGCAAAGTGCTCTCCATTAAACCACATTTGTTGCACACCAACATGTCAATTCCACAACTCGTCCCACGTCTGTCTACCAGGAGATCCACTACTATGTAAAGCTGATGCGTTGTGCAAGTGAGTATTGCTTCTGAAAAATTTGGAAAAGATAGTTTTCTGGCCAGAATAAAAACATAAATTCGAATTTTCCTTTTTTATGATGATGTGAGCGGTTTCCAATAGAGCCGGCGCATAGCTAATTGAAAAAATATTTTAACCAAAAACAATTTGCAGTGGACTCACTGGCGAATGCCCACCAGCACCACCAGTAGCTGACCAGCAAGAATGTCTTGAAGGAGGAGAGTGTTTCAATGGAGTTTGTCTTCCATTCTGCGAAAAGAAAAGCATTGGACAGAAGAGTTGCATCTGTGAGAACCGTGAGTTTTAGAAACCACTGAATTCTATTTAACAACTTTTTTAGTTGAAATCTCTTGCCGCCGTTGTTGTCGTGACCAAAACGGCACTTGTTCTCCTGTGCCGGGTCCCGTGTATCTTCGAGATGGTATAAGATGTTCTAAAGGAACTTGTCGTGATGTAAGTTTTTATAATCAGTAGATTGCGCATATAATATTTATCATCATTCTAGAGAAAATGCGTTAACGAGGCTGTGGACAACGTCCGTAACTATTTCCTTGCGCCATTCCAAAGTACTGGTGGTTTGTGTAAGTTGTATAGGGCATTTTCTCTGTTAAAGTTTCAATTTTGCAGTGGTTTTCTTGAAAACTCACGTCGTCCTGATTGCTATCATCACTATTTCAATGATATTCGCTGCGGCGTACTCAATTGTGAAGTGTAATGTGAGTTTTTTTTTACAATAAGGGACTAGTAAATTTTGTTCGAAGGCCGCAATTACATAACAAAATTTGGGAAACCCCCGGCCGGAGATTTTTTTTTTTAAAGTGGACAAAAAGCTAAATTTTCCAAAACGAAATAGTTTTCTTACTTTACGCTTTTCATAAGACAAGCTGTTGCTGCGGCCTACCTTCATTCTGTAGACCCCAGCTAAAAAAACGCTAAACCGACAAAAAAGCTGACTTAAAAGAAATCAATTCTTCCTTGTTTTTCAGGAGCACAATATTTCCAAACTGTCAGAAGAAGATCGTGCCGTCCCACTTCGGAAGGTTCACGTCAGTGCGGAAGTTTTCAATCCCGGTTACCATGAATAGTTCGATATTATTGTTAATTTTATTTCCTTTATTTCCGTTTTACCGTTTTTGTTTTAATTTATCACGTTCTGACTCTTGTTTTTTGTCTCATATCGCTTTAACTTACGCGTTGATTGTCAAAAACTACCGGGTGACATGATCACATCTGTTTATTTTTGCTCAATTACCCGATTCTTGGTCTTCTTCTAATGTTTCCCAGCTCAAATCTGTGTTTTACCTCATTTTACCGGTATTATTTTCTATGCTCAGTGAGCCAAAAAAATTGATTCGACAAAAATGTGTTTTTTTCTCGAGTTTTTATTCATGTGCAACGTTAACAAAGTTTCAGTACAAGCGTCGTAGAGTTTTTATTGGTCTGCAGAGTTCTACAGGTTTGATCTTGATCACGGTGTTCGCCTCATCGGAACTGTTGATAACTATCATTCGAAAGTGAAATTGTCTTCCATCTTGCCTTCCATTGAGTGTGCAAATAGCAACCTCTCCATTATCTCATTTGACTTCAAAAGATTTGTGAATATCTTCTTTTCTGGAAAAGTTATTTTTCTTCACTAAACAATTTAACCACATACTCAGTCAGAATTCCTCTACCATTAGTTGGATTAACTGTAATGCCTTCCTTGACTTGATCTTCAAGTGCTGTCTTCTCAGCGACTGTTTTCGGTTCATCTTCGTTGAATCTCGAATAAGTGATTTTCCAAAACACCACCTGGCTGAGACACTCGTAGCCGTCCCACATTCAACGTCTGATAAGCAAGTTGAAACCACAGGTATGGAATTTGCAGTAGTTGATTGAAGCTTCCTTGTAATTGAATTTTAGAAAATCCTTCGTTTTCATCTCGCACGAATTCATTTCCAGGTAGCTTTTGTTACAGTCCTGTAATACAAATAACTGATGGATTAATAACGGGATGATATCATTACCATAGGGACGCAAGGTAGAAAAGCGGTGGAAACACATGAAATGAAGACTCGGTTGAACTCAGCTTTCCGAATGAATTCTTCCATTATTTTCAGAGACCTATTGCGTCGCGTGAACCAATATCGCTTTACCGCTATGTGTATTTCTTCGCATTTGAAAAGATTTATTTATTTCAACGAAGGGGAGAAAACCACTAACACGTGAAATGTCTATGAATCTAGGAGATATAACAGGGACATACAATTGTATAAAATAGGAGATGGAGGAAAAACCGAGTTAGTAATTAGCTGAATTCAAGACAAGAAAATGATTTAGATCACAGGATAATAGTCGATTTTTGAAAGCCGCTGACGAGGGCTTCACCGGAAACACTTTGGCGGGTAAAGAGTTCCAACATCTGATTACTCTATTAGAGAGAAATTGAGAAGATATTTTTGTTGAGTTTTTGATAAGTGATTTGAGATAGTATTTTTGACGTCGCAATGATCCAGCATGATTAAATATTTTGAAAATTGGAACCTCCATGATAATTTCTTTGGAAAAAATAATTTTATACGTGTAGACCAAATCATCATAGAGCCTGCGATACTTCAAGGAACTTAGCTGACATTCTTCCAGTGCTTCAAAGTATGAAGTGTATGCCATCCTGAATTTTTTTAAAAGTCTGAAAACAAATGACTTTTGCACCGATTCCAATTTTATAATATGATCCTTTAGGATTGGAGAAGTGACTATCGTTCCATATTCGAGTAAAGGGCGTATGTAAATTGTATAGCATTTTATAAAAACACTCCACGATGCGTTTTTTAGAATGGAAAAGAACATGTTGACCTCTGATGTGATTTCCGAATAATCAACGAATAATGATAATGGAAACTCAGGTTACTGGAAAAGTAGATCCCAAGATCACGGACATTTTCCACAGGGGGAATCAAAGCTTGATTTAATTTGGGATTCATAACATTGGAGTTGGCATATTTTCTTGTTGCATTGAATTTGATGTATTCGCACTTTTTAGGAGCCGCTTTCATTTTCCACTTCGAGCACCAATTCTCCAATTCAATTAAATCTGCATTAATCAATCTAACATTCGTATCATAAATTTTCAAATCATCTGCAAACAGTAGATAGTCACTTTAAAATTTGTCACCAATACAATTAATATATAACAAGAAGAGGGTAGGCCCAAGAACAGAGCCCTGCGGGACTCCGGACAATACGCGCCTCTTCTTGGATAGTATATCATTGATTTTGACTTGAAATTTTCTGTCCGTGACAAATGAATGAAGCCAATTTCTTAGTTTGGGAGATATCCCAAAGCTTTCCAACTTATGAATCAATTTGTTCATCGGCACTGTATCGAAGGCCCTCTGGAAATCAATATAGACGCTATGGGTATCTAACCCGTTTAAAGAATTGAAAACAAGCTTGTTCTGGTAGGCGATCAGTTGGGAAATTGTACTTCTCTGATTAAGGAACCCGAATTGTTTTTCTGATAATAGATTATTTTCGGATAAGTATTGGACTAGATGTTTTCGTTTCAACTTCTCCATAATCTTGCATATATTGGATGTTAAAGAGATTGGTCTATAGTTTAAAGGATCGGAGCGGGAGCCTTTCTTATGAAGCGGCATAACAATCGCCTCCTTCCAAGATCTTGGTATTCTTCCAACTCGATAACTTTCTGTGAACATAATGCATAGTGGAATCGCAAGAGGAGTACACGCTCTTTTCAGAAATATTGACGGGATCCGGAGAAGTATTATTTCGGCCTTTCAGTTTATATAGTAATATCTCGATATTCTCCGGCGTGAATATGACATCTGAGCTGAACATAGAAGTTAGATTCCCTGTAGCAGGAAGGATATCTTTGTCAATGTTGGAAAATTCACTGAAGCAATCTCCAAAAAATTTTTTGATCCAGAATTCAGACGTTTATAGATTCTTTCTTCTTCAGATTTCACGTGTGACTTTTTGAATAATGCTGAAACATGTTTATATTCGTCCGAGTTACCTGCTTTCTTCCAAATCAATAATTTCTTCTTTAGTAATTGTTTGGTTTCTTTGGAATAAATTATATTATGAATTCGATGAGTTTCTGTTGGTACAAAAGATTCAATAAGCTCCATTTTTGTCAGGAAGATTATAATGGAACTTAAATATCTTTTAAAGTAAAACTCTTCATCACAATTTTTTGAAATTGCCAAAACTTGAAATTCTTCTAATGAATCACTTAAAGTAAAACATGTCATTATTGCTAGCTCATAATAATAGTGAGTCAACAACAGGAAAAATTTTAGTGAGACTTCAAATTCCTGGGTTGAGTAGCATGTGACTACTCCATTTGTAATTGGCCTAGTCGCGAAAACATTTTAACGAAAGCTTAGCTAATGAGGGGTTATAAAGTTAAACTCTCCAGAGATTTTGAAAACTCGTGATACTGAATTTCTAATGAGCAAATCCATAATTTTTTTAGTATGTTTGATACTCAGCCAACGGGAAAAAAATAGAAGCAAAATCTCGAGAGTTAAGAGGCGGGATTTCTGAAGAATAGGGTTGGACGATTGTGCAACCGCAGATTATTTTATCAGCACATCCGATCGGTTTGATAGTGAAACTGCGGCAACTTGCGGTATTCATGTGCCTCTTAAAAGTCACTTTGACAAAAATGAAAACACCTAAAAGGAACATCTTGACCGTTCTATTCAATTTCTCTGTTTTGCCACATTTCATGTCATCCACTTCTGTTTAGATTTTTATGTGTGTTTTAAGAGAATAGAGTTCCGATCTGATGTATTAGGTTGGCGGGAAAGTCTTTGTCACTTTTTCAATAGTTTATTTCTCAAAGAAAAAATAACCGAATAATTAATTATATTGTCCATCATTATCAACAACATGTCTCCAACGTTCCCTCAATTTATGGATTCCATTGCGGTAGAATCCAGCCGGGCGTGAGGCAAAGTATTGTTTGAGTGCCGCTTCGACCGCTCCACGGGAATTGAAGCTTCTTCCTTCGAAGGCACGTGTCATATCGCCAAATAACCAATAGTCGGAAGGAGCAAGATCAGGAGAATACGGGGGGTGAGGGAGAACATTCCATCCATATCCCATCAGCTCCTGCTTCACTTGTTTCGAAACATGTGGGCGAGCGTTATCATGTGATAGTACACTTTCTTGTCTTTCAGGGCCGAACGGTCGACTGCTTTCTTGAGGTTTCGTAGTTGAGTAGTGTAGAGGTCTCCAGTTATTGTTTTGCCCTCGGGCAGAAGTTCCCAGTAGATGGGGCCGTCCACTCCCCACCACACAGAGAGCATAACTTTTTTCGGATGAAGGTCGGGTTTGGGGACATCCTGTGGGCTCTCTCCTTCTCCAACCCACTGGGATTTCCTGTGGTGATTATCGTAGAAGACCCACTTCTCATCTCCGGTTATTAGCCGGTCCAGCCATCGATCGCCCGCGTGGAGAGTGAGAAGAGTAATCGAATCGTCGACTCGGCGGTCAAGGTTGGCTTGAGTCAGGTGATGAGGTATGAATCGACCAAAAAGTTTTCTCATTCCAAGAGACTTCAAACCTTCAAGGACTGTGCTATGGTGAACTCCGAATGTGACAGCTAGTTCACGGCTAGATTGAAATGGATCCGATTGCAATGCGTGCTTCAGCTTGTCCAAATCCAACTCACGGGGTCTCCCAGAGCGATCCTTTTCATCGAGCGAGAAGTCATCTTTTTCGAAACGATGGAACCAATTGCGAATAGTATTGTAGTGAGGGGCATGTGTGTTGTACACATTCTTCAAGAAAGTTTCCGAATCCTTCATCGTGGTGTGAGATAGGAAGAGGTAAATCAAAACATGTCTGATGTGAATAGCAGTGGGAACAAACATATCGTTTCAATTACAGATGAGGAGCAGGGAAGGAAATGGGGACTTGTTTATATGGAAGGTTCTTATCACCTTGTTATTCACTAGAGTCGATATCATACACAGCCTCCATATACGAGAACAGTGATTAAACAAACAGAGTGACAAAGACTTTCCCGCCAACCTAATAATACAAGTAACCCCTTAAATTAAAAAATCACAGTTTTCAATAGAAACATTTTTCAATTTTTAGTATTTGTATTGGGTTGAACTGAAGTTCTTACCATTGAAGGTTATTGAAGCTTGAATATTTTCTTACAAGCTTCAATCTTTTCTTGTTAGACTTCTGATAATGGGATGTTACTAGTTTTTTTCTATTTGGATATGATCAGTGAAAATTTTTTCTCTACACTCCACTCAATACTCACTTGCAATTGAAACATACTGCTGCGCAAACAACCAATTTGGAAGAGAGCACTTCCTGTGGCTGCAAAAGTATTATTCTTTTTCAAATGTTTATTGAGCAGAAGATGGTCGGTTGATATCTCCTCAGTCAGTACCAACGATTTATTGATTCAATCTGTCTTCACAAATCTATTCATATGCAAATGTGACAACACACAACTCATTGTGTTCTTTATTACATTTCCATTGGCTCTAACACTATCTGTCTCTTCTTCAGGCTCATTCCTTTTTTCTTTTTTCAGTTTTCAAGTTTAAAATATTTTCAGATGCAATCTCTCAAACCTATATACAGTATAGCATTGATTGGTTTTCTACTCGCATCGTTCACTCATATAAGCATCTCATTTTTTTTCAATGTTAAACTACCGGAAAATATTTATTTCAACTTACTCAATTCAGTCAAAATGGACAAAAATACAGCAGATCAACTGAAAATACTTATGGACAGTGAGTTGTGATTAGACTTATTCGAAAACCCCTATTTAAAAAATGAGAAATCCAATTTTTCCCAGCTTTTTTTATCTGGAAATTGATCATACAAATTTTTTCGGTAAGCGAAAATCCACATTTTTAAACCATGTTTTTGAAAAATTGGATATCCGAATTTTTTCATGATTTTTAAACAGACAATAGGATTTCTATTTTTTTGAACTGGCAGTCGGATATCAGATTTTTTCATTTTTTTTCCGGTTTTTTGTTAACCTAATCCAATTTTCTGTAACTGACAATGAAACGTTCAAAAAATAGCGAGAAAACAAGTATGTAGCAAATGCGCTTTTAAGATTCCATACGTCCCAGAAAAAATTCTTGCAAAAAGTAGGAAAAATATTTCCAAAAAAAAAATTCGAAAATTTTTCCTACGGGAAAAATCATTTTTCCATAAAATGTTCTGTCTGGAAGTTTTTCCGTAAAAGTATGAAAAATCCGAACATGGGGCCATTTTCCGACTCCAATTAACCGTAGTTGTGACAGACGTGTCTCGTGTTCACACAACATTGGTTTCAGCTCCCGCGTTCAAGTATAGTCCACACGGTTCAAATGGGGATGGTGTGAAAATACCAGACCATCTAAAAAATCTAGAAGAATCGCGATTCTCTGAAAACAATTTCAATGTTGTCGCATCTGAAATGATTTCGGTAAATCGTACACTTCCGGATTACCGATCAGACGCTTGCCGGATATCTGGAGGCAAGATCAACACAACTGAATTGCCAAGAGCTTCGATAATCATCACATTTCATAATGAGGCATGGACAACAATAATCAGGACACTTCATTCTATCTCCAATCGCTCGCCACGTCATCTTATCGAAGAAATTGTGTTAGTGGATGATTATTCCGACAAGTATTGGTTGAAGGGACCATTAGATATTTATGTTCGACAGTTTGAGGTGATATTTTAGTTGATGAGTTTGAAATCTTTGTCTATCCCTGGAAGTCTGAGCAATTGAACAGTTATAATTTTTCAGATACCCGTACATGTGACTCATCTCCCTGAACGATCGGGTTTGATTCGTGCCCGTCTTACTGGAGCCAAAATCGCGAAAGGTCCAATTTTACTGTTTTTGGATTCTCATATCGAAGTGAGCGAAGGTTGGCTGGAACCCCTCATATCCCGAGTAGCTGATGACCGAACCCGTATTATTGCTCCAATTATTGATAATATTTCCGACGAAGATTTTGGATTTTCGACTGGAAGAACTGACCTATGGGGCGGTTTCAGTTGGATACTTTCATTCAAGTGGTTTGATATGAACGGAAACGATACTCAGAGATTGATTGCTAAAAAAGCGGAACCTATACGGTAAGTGCAGCAATTATTAGGAAAATTCGAATGTTTTTAAATCCTAATATACCATTATTGTATTAGAAGTATTAGAAGTGCCTGCAAACTTTAGAGTTTCAATTATCTCGATTCCCAAAAAAAATGTTTATGATATTATGATTTATATCTCAGTAGTTGACAACATTTTGATGTCTTCGGCAGGAACCGGGATAAAATGGCTCAAAGGCAGATGTTACTGGCCGTAAAAAAGTTTTAAACCAATTATTAAAGTATTATGATATTTACCAAACCTATTTTTTGTTGCTCCGCTTCTCATTTTCTTGGCACTATTAAAAATTGAACAATTAATTTCAAACTGTGCAAAGTTTATTTCAAAACTTAAAAATTGTTGTCAAACCCAAAAATGTCCTAGCTTGGTCTTGCGATATTTCCAGTGCGAAAAGGGGCGGCATGGCAGTTATTTTATAAGACAACTAGGGTCTCTGATTTGCTCTGAATTGGTTCCTGTTTCAGTTTTGTTTTGGTCCAAAAAAACGGTGTCGGAAAATACTTATTTTCCATTTTTTGTTCACGAAAAAATGTTATTTTTCGATTGCACCAGTATCAATATGACATCATAAAACGCCTATTTCCCAGTAAAATTAATGTTATTTGAAAAAATCCCTGCATTTTTCAATATTTCAGAACACCGACAATTGCTGGCGGATTATTTGCAATCAACCGAGAGTATTTCTACGAGATGGGTGCCTATGACGAAGGAATGGAAGTATGGGGTGGCGAGAATGTGGAAATATCATTCAGGGTCAGTTTTACTGTATTCCTCTCAAAATCTGCACAACATTTTTAGATCTGGATGTGTGGCGGTTCTATGGAAATCCATCCTTGTTCTCACGTGGGGCACGTCTTTCGAACCAAGACTCCGTATTCGTTCACTAAAGAAGTAAATTTTGTTATAAGGCGTAATCAGGCACGTACTGCCGAAGTATGGATGGATGAGTACAAAGAGTTCTTTTTCAAAATGGTCCCATCAGCTCAGAAAATGGAAATCGGTGATTTGCAAGAAAGAAAAAGTTTAAGAGAGCGTCTGAAATGCAAACCGTTCAAATGGTACTTGAAAAACGTCTGCTCTGAATGTCACATGCCTTCTGAATATCATTCTCTTGGAGCGATTGTGAATAAACTGAATGGAAAGTGCGTGGACAGAGGAGGTAGAGTTCTTGGAGGACCACCTGGTTTGGGGACATGCATTCATTCACATGAGCAACAAGGAAATCAGGTCAGTGGAAAGTTTTGCCGCCTTTGTTCAATATGGATACCGTATTTCCTCTAATAGAAGCCCATGGGCTTCTATTTTTCCACCTTTCTCTCTCAGGGTAAGCTTCAATTAGAGGAAATGCGGTACTTTTAATACTTGAAAATTGTCAAACATTTTGGTTTTTGAATAGATTGCGGACCTCAAAAGGTCCAACATTCAGAGAACCGGTCCCGTATTTTTGTAACGTACGCTAATTTCAACAGTAAAATTTACTTTTTCTTTAACTAAAAGCCTGTCACATAGTTTTCTTTCTCCCCTTACCCATTATGAGATCTTCTGCCTGGTGATGTATAATACTGAATTTACTTACACTCCTGTATTCTCTGGTGAAATAAATAAAGCCAAATTATTTTTCAATTTTTTGTAGGTTTGGTCTTGGACCGGAAACAAGGAAATTCGATCACAAAACTTCTGTTTGTCTTCCAATAAAAAAGGGTCAGAGTTGAAAATAGAAATGTGCAATGGCAGCGAGGATCAGAAATTCGAATTCAATCGAAAAGTAAGAACGAATATTTCAAACGAGAACTTTGAAAATTCTATTTCAGATCGGGAACATCATTCACCAAACAAGCGGAAAATGCATGACGAATGCAGAATCTGTGGCCACTGTGGATGATTGCAAAAACAGCCGACAGGAGCAAGTTTGGGATTTGGAAGGTTTGAAAAAATAAAGTTTATTTTTTTCGGATGTATAATCGCAGTTATACTTAATAACTTTTGACCACATGTTTTTTGAATGAAATTAATCTTGAATTAGTATTTTTTTACTTAAAATTTTAAGAAAATTTCGGAAACACTGGAGGGAATCTAAAAACTCTAAGTCAAAAACGGGAGTATTTTCAAATTTATTAGTAATGAGAGTAAAAACTATCAAATACACGTCAAATTTTCCAGCTTCAACATACAAGTGAGAATCGAAAAATAAAGTCAAATTAGAATAATAAGATCTTGTAAAGGAAAAGATCATGAGAAAGATCAATAAAAAAATCGGGAAGGCAACTCGGCAGATGAAAATTCGTACAATTAAGGGAAATTGAATGTTTTGAAGGTTAGAACAAAATATTTGCAAGAAAATTCTACAAAAAGCAATGATCTGGGTTTATCGTACCCTTCTTCTTTTGCGCTCCGGCTCGCCTGTAACTTTGTTCTGGCCACTTTTTTCCAAGAAAAATCTTGCAAATTCTTGGATTTCGTTTGCATGACGTCTGGCTGTCAGGAATTCCAACTCCGCATACATACTGTCTTTGGGTTTTCTTCTGTAGTTTAGGGCACCAGAAATAGTACTTGTTTGATTTTGAACATTATTGAAGAGAGTATCCCAGCGATTGTTGGTCACATTATGTCCTTGCCACGCTGTTTTGAGGATAACCATTAATTCTATCACGGCTCTCTGAAGGAAACGAACGTCCGCGTGTAGCAACGACCTGAAAAAATTGTTCCTAAATGAAATCCAATCGTTCCTTATGCATGTTCTGTGCTTAATTTTATGACCAAAAATTCGGGGGTACAATGATTCTAGGGTACAACTTATTTCATTTAGGGGTACAACGTTTGTGATTTGCGGGTACAATTTTTTTTGACGAAGTTTCTGAATTCCTGAATTTCAGAGCTTGTAAATCTCTAAATTTTTAGAATTTCAGAACTTTGGAATTTCAGTATTTAGGAATCTGAAAATTTCGGAACTTCAGAATCTGAGAATCTCAGAACTTCGGAACTTCTAAATTTCAGAACTTCAGAATCTCAATATTTCTGAATTTTCAATAATCACGGCAGAAATTTTCTTCATTGTCTTCAGAATTCTTAGGATTCCAGAATTCGGAATCTGAGAATTTCGGAACTTCAGAATATGAGAATTTTCAAATTTAAGAATCTCAGAATTTCAGAACTTTGAAATCAAAGAATTTCAGAACTTTGGAACTTCAGTATTTCGGTATCTGAGAATTTCGAACGACAGAAATAACTTCTCATTGTCACATTGTTCTTTTTGACAATAAGCTAAACTTGACAGATTTTACAAACTCAGTTTTTTGATGCTTAATTTAAGTTCAAAACCCGCCGATACTTTCCTCCTCAATGCCAATTTTTCTCAATTCCTTGTTTTTTCAATTCTATTTCATTTCCCTTTGTTTCTTAATATTCCTTCGTCTTTTTCCCAATTTTTTTCAATTTTCCTCAATTTTTGCGGTAATTTAAATTTTTCTCATTTTTAAATGATTTTCTAGATCATTGATTGAAGGAAACAATCACAATTTAGCTATTTCCCACAAAATTTGAAAATCCCAAAAATTCGCCCAAAATGAGCTATTTTCTATCGGAAATTGTTTGAACGGGCAATAAAACATTACGAAAATTATAAATTTGATTTTTTTTCGATAAATTACTACGAAAATTTGTGCAAAAATGAGGAAAAACGAAGGAAAACGGAGAAAATCCCAAAAATAAATTTTGCGAGCGATGACGTCATCAGCCCATGGCCGTGGCCGAGCTGCGGGGTTTTCTCTTCCATGGGAAAATTTCGCGAAATTGAAATCTTATCGCAATTCCCAT